TGAATGGTTCCAATGTGGCATGGGCGCCACCAAGACGTCGAAGGAATGCGATCAAATCAATACTGACAAGATCTTGTCATTCGCCTCGTTGGTGCTCAAAATTTCCACGGAGTTCTCGTCAAGCTCAGAAGATGTGCTCATGGCCCAGGTCGACTCGGGGAAGTTGACCACGCTCAACGACGCCTGGAACTCCATCAAGTCCACGTCCGTCGTTCAAAACGCCTTGAAAGCGTACGACGCCGCCAACCGCCTCGTGTCGGGGTACCGGGCCATCGAGGACCTCGTAAAAGAGGTCAGCACGACGAAAGACTTCGTACAACTTGCAACGACGATGTTGTTGATTTTGAATTACACTCACATCTCGGGGGATACAAGTACTTGACGTGCGACAAAGTTGTTGACCCAGACGCGTGCATCTCCGAGGATTAGCAATAACGCTCGAATAATCCATGCGCGTTTTGGTGGACCAGTTGAATGGGCGCCCAAACATTTCCGTTATTCACTCTCTGTCACGCTTCAACAATTGATATCTATCGGTCATGAGTGTGCTGGGGGTGGCGCGTTTGATGGCTTACATCGTATCACTTGGTGGGTCGCTTTCGACACGCTAGGCATACTGGTTCAAACAGAACCTATAGTTTGTCCGCGGGCATTCCCCACGCATCATTTTGAGGATTGATGCACGCCGTCGCCATCCCCGTCAAGAATGCGACCCTCATGGCGGTCCTCGCACCGTCCTTGTAAGCGCCTTGGGCGATTCCCTGTCAGTCGCCGTGTTCAAACATTTTCGATGGTTACGCCGCATGGGGTTTACATCGTTCTGGTCAATGATCCGACCATCGACGTGTATCATGGAGCAAACGCTTTGCGCGATGCTATCGACAGGGCCACTTTCTTTATAGTTTGATTGAGATCCGACTTCATCTGGTCAATGTCAAGCCCAGACAAACTTATGACGATGATGCCCATCAATCGGATCTCCCTCGACCCTGGAGAGTCGCTTAGAAGGTTCGACTTAGAACCTTCGACTTAGAGCTTTAGAACATTCATCCTTGTCGTCCTGCTAGAGGGACGCCTGTACATTAGAAAGCTACATCCTAAG